TCGTTTTTTTTCTAACTTTTTCCGCTTTCTCCTTTTCTTTCTCTTTTTCTTTTATACTGTTTTTTATTACTCTTTCTTTGTCACTCTCTATCACTTCCTCTTCCTCTTCACTTTCGCTACTTTCTCTGTCTCCTATTATCTTTCTAATCCAGTCTGGTGCCCAGCCTTTATCTTCTTCTTTGCTTTCCTTTTTTACCACTTTCTTTTTCCGCTTTTCTTGTTCCAATGGGCTGAATTGTAATTTTCTTTTTCCTTCTATTTTTTTTCTTTGCCTCCTTCATCCAACTATTTCCTCATAGACCTTTGTCTTTCATATATTTTTATTGGCCTTCCTTTTTTTTCTCTTTATATTATTTGCTTTTGGCGTTACAAGTTCCCCGGATCATATTTCTTCTGTTATTTCATTAATCATACTTCTTTTTATATCTTTTCTATCCCTCTTTCCTCCCTTCTATCATTCCTCTATATTTTCTGTTTATCTTTGTTCCTCATTTTTCTGTTCCCTTTCCCACTTTCATAGGGTCATTCCAGCTATACGGGGAATTTTTGGCATGTATAGGTCCGTGAAATGGTTGTTCATATAACCTAGTTTCAGGAAAGTAACCTACCAATATCAAATTTTAATAATTTTATATTTAAAGAATGAATTTTTATTTTACAGTTTTAACCCTACCTAGGGTTTTGGGTCCGAAAATTCAAACTTCTGGAAAGTGAATTTTCTTTTGAGAAATTTTCCGCTGAATACGATGCCGGTTTCCTTTTTTGAAAATGATCATCCGTTCAAAAGCTATATGCAATTTCCCCATAATAATTCATTTATATAATTTTAATTAATTCAAACAATTTGATTTTGTTTTCCACGATAAATATTTTTTACATGAAATTCAAAATTGCGAAGTTGAAAAGCAGGGGAACAGGATTCTCTGGATTTAACGCACGTTAATTTCCCGGGTAGCAAAGGCTCTATTTTTACGTTTATTAAATAAATATTGGGGGTGAAAAGTCGCGAGGTTAAAAAGCAGGGGTCGAGGGCATTCGGGGTTGGGTTGCATATAATTGATAAGTGAACGAAAGATTGATCGACTCACTTATATTTTTATTACGAATTTTTAAATTACATGGCAACGAGAGCAGATGCTGTGTGATGTTCGTATCACTTATAAATAAAATAATTCGAACTCTCGTAATATAGCTAATGAGTAAGAATTTGTTTCCAATGATTTTACTCTAATTGTCAAGAAAATAGATAAATAAATCAAATGTAATAAATAAGTAAATCAAATATACATAAGTAAGTGCAATATTTCGAAGAAAGTCAGACAATGCCCTAGTTTCTTATGGTGCGAATTGTCCCATAAGCAGAGCTAAAGTCTTTCTTTGATAGGATATAATTCGGCCCAAGTTTCTTATAGCGCGAGATGTTCTATAAGTCTAGCTCAAATTATAAGGAAAGGATAGTCTTGCTTAGTTAATCACAATGAGAGAAAGAACTTAGGTATTAATCCAAGTTTATTCAGACTCACGCGCTCACCTTGCAAGGCTAGAAGTGAATGCTAGCCTGTGCAAAGGTGGGCCTATTTATACACAGATTTTCCCGCTTATTTTTGCAGGAGAGATTTCATCGAAAATTCGAGAGACATTCGCGAATTTTGAGAAATGAGTTTTCTTAATTTACAAGTAAATAACCATTAATATTAAGTTTTTAACACATTTAAACTTTACAGAATTTGTTATTTGTTGATTTTATACAATATATAATTATCGCCAATAGTGTCGTCAAAAGTTATTAACTAATAAAGTTAATTAACGTGATATTACAATATTTACAATGGAAAATTATTAAATTTTCATATAACTTTATAGTTGATTAATTTTCGAAGTATTCTCCAAAATTAATTATTTAAATTAATTAATAACATTTGAATTATGACTAATTTTTCATATTTGTAACGGTTTTTTTCTAATCTTAATATGCAATTATTAGATTAATTATATAAGATTTCTAAATTATAAAGTTTGTAACAGGCTGCCGTTTAACCTATTAAACCTATTTGTTATCTCGGTCAACGACGCCTTGTTATCTACGTGCCGAAAGCACGTCAACCTACCTTGTCCGGGAGTGCGCTTGCGCAGAGTCTCCTCACCAATCCGAGTTGGGTTCCCCAACTCGCCACTTGGCGGCGCTGTCGCTCTTGCCTAGCAGCGCTCCTACGGCCGCTGCTGGAAACTTGGTTGGCGATTCGCTTCTACCGATCTCCGCGTGATCCGTGCTACGCTACCGGCTTATTCGAATCGAACGTCAACAAACCCGAACTCCGGACAAAGGAAAGGCAAAATAATGATTCGATTTAGCAATAACTACTGATCGCTTTATTGGATTAAATCTGATACACGGGGTATTTGCCGAGAGACTTGCGCACGCAAATACAATTGACAATACGCCTGGGTGGGAGAGAGAGAAAACCTCGCGACCGCCGCGAACTAACCGCTCGCACGCTATAAATAATTTCCTCGCGCACGGTGCGCGGGATCGCACGCAACCAACAATATAGGGGAAGGTGCACCTACCGCGAGATAGTTGAGGATACGGTGGCCAACCGTATCCGATATGCAAGCCGCTGATTAGTTGCTCCGCTGCACTGCCGCTGTTACTGTTGTTGTTGTTGTTGCTGGTGTTGCTGCTGTTCGTTGCTGCCTGGATCGCTGAAACCGCTAAGGTTGCAGTCACTGCACACGCCAACTATGCGCACACTCACTGCAGCACTCTCACGCGTAAAGTCCTTGTTTCTCCAGGTCACACTCAACGAAATGTCAATGCTCTAGCACCCAAAACCGCAGCGAAGATCTAGCCGGACTGAGTGGCACAGTCATACTGCCTACCGAACTCTCCCCTCCCGGTTATTGCCCCTACGCTGCCTCTCTCTCTCTCGAACCGATCGCGGCTATTGCGCTCAGCCGCTTATCGTTCGACCCACGCGAGTCGAACGATTTTCGGTAATCGTTGCAAGTTATCATTATCAAGTATAAACTTAATATTTTCGTTCTATAAATAGCTTATTGTTTAAATAAATTATTAATTGTTTATTTACTAATAACAGTTATTATTTAGCTGTTATTAATGAAACCAATTCTTACTCATGTTCTATGTTTGTTCACTTTGCATATGAATTATTTATATTTTTCTAATATTTCATATGTTAATAAATAAATCAACTTTGCATATTGATATTCATTATTATTTCATAGTTGAATGAGATTTTCGTTATAATATTATTAATCTACATGCTAAAATCTATATAATCGATACTTTGTTATATTAAAATTACCTATAATTAACATATTTTTCTTAATATCATGAATCATTATATCTATGTCTATTACTTTGTGACGTCACGCTGTTTATTTTGATTCGACTCTTATTTGTATACAGTCGCGTAAACAGAGAAGTAGCGCCGCTTAATGTATTGTTTTGAATAAACAGATAGATACGTTGGACTAGTTGCAGTCGTTCAGTGATTTAATAAATAGCTCATAAATAGGACCGTTACAGCTGGGAGTCTGCGCATGCGCAGCGTCTCGCTTGGCGAACGGGCTAAACAATTTTTTTCGTTTAATTTATTTGGAAATTAATTTATCGTGGATTCAACCATGGACGCCAATTAGGTGTGAGACGCTTAAACGATTGGACTATTCAAAAATTAATTTTCATCAAAATTTAAAGGTCTTCTGGGCGATATAATATTGGACGCTGGGACCTAGCGCCCAGGGTAGTTTTTTTGCAATTTTAAGGGGTAGAATGATGACGCACAAACGAACTGATCTGAGCTTTTTTGTTACATATTAGACGCCTAATCTAATGATGTAATCACTTTTGCGATCATCTCAATTTTTCGGTTTTTGGGCGCTAACTTATAAGACCTTGAAACATGTCTCCTCGAGAATTTGTAGTCGTCTGCCACGTGTATAATCTATGCACTTTATGCAGACCATAGAGATGTACATATGTGAGTGGGCAAATAAATTCATCGTGAAAGTACCGATGCGAAGACAGCCCGACACAAATAACATTTTAGAAAAAAAAATGATCACATCTCACGTATGTCTAATTGTACTTCTCGAAAAAATAATTATTTGTTATTGTACCATTATATTTCTCATAAAAAATAAGATATATCCTTATCGATATTTCACCTCCTATTTATTCACATAAAAGACATAATTAAGCAAAAATAAATTCACAGAAAAATTGTACCTTCTGTAGTCTAAATTGTACTATCAGTACAATTCTATAAATTTGTTTCTAAAAGAAATAATAGGACAATTACAAATTACCACTATTTGTTACATCTTACAAGGATGTCATCCGAAAATGCACTTTGCGCAGGCGTAGAGCTTCAAACAGCGGAAAAATTTTGAAACCAACAATATTACATACATAAATTTATATAAATTCAATTGATGATTTAGTATAGAAATAATTTAACTTGTCAGAAAAAATAATTTTCTTTCATCTAACTAATTATTTTTATATTATAAACCTCGAAAATCATTGACAAAGAGAAAGATAACAGCTGCACCGATTTGATTTCATGCTAATGCTTACTTTTTCCAGATATAGCAATTTAAGGACAACTGTACCTTATTCATCGAACATCCGACTTAATTGTACCGCAATTAACTCTAACTAGTGTAAATTTAAAATTATTATCAAGATTATGAAGAGAGATTAATTTTATTTTTTAAATATTTTGAAATCAAAAGAAAGTAAAACGTTAAATAGGAAAATATATGATTGATTCTGGAAGCAAAAGTTACATGTTATAAAAGAACGTTTATTTATTAATGTCTTCTCTAAAATAGTAATACAATTTAGTACATTTCTCGTCAACTTCGCACATGTATTAGCTCAAATCACAAATATTGCAAACATCAATTAAATAAACATAGATCTTTCAATGCAAGATCGAAAACATCTAGTTTAGAGCTCAAACTTGTTTCTGATGAGCTCGAAGCATCAGGTCTTTCAAGTATAAGTATAAATACAAGAGCTTTCAAGTATAATTATGCTAATTTTATGTGAAGCAGTTACGAATTGAAGGGCTTCAGAGAACAGAGGCGTTTGAAAAAGAATTGGAATTTTATTTAGGAAAAAGATGGATGAAAATTTACATACCAATTAGGCATTGTATTTAAATTAATTCAAAACTTCTCAACACTTTTACATACATTTGCAAATGTTTCACAACTATTTGCATCACATTTTTCCAGGGAAAGTGTAGCTAGGTACCTAATAAGACTTAAAGAAGTAGAAGACATAGATTCATTACTGTTAATGGCATATATTTATCATCTATATATGGATCTACTAAGTGATGGGATAATTCTTAGAAAAAAAGGGCTATTATACAAAAAAATAGTCCATTTCAAGATACATCAAATGGTGGAAATAAACTTACAGACTTCGGTGAATATAGTATTTACGAATTAAAACGTGAATTGCGTAACACAATGAATAGGATTGCAGATACTTTAGATGAAGAAACAAAAAAAAGACTTCTTCAAGAAAGTAAAACTGTTTATATGTTGAATAATGAAATTATTAGGAGTTTCAAAGGCGCATGTAGAGTGATTGTCAAGAAAGTTGAATATTTTTTTATTGCTCTTGTCTTTATCATCATCGTCTTCCTCAACTTTAAACAGTAAATTACAAAACTAACTCTTCGAATCATCCGAAATTGTATATATATTTTTTTATTTGTACAAGTTCTGCAAATGAATTACTATTTTATTGATGATTATTAGAAAAATATAACGGTTTATTGTTACTGTAAACTATTCTAGTCGGTAGACATTGTAAGGAAAGTAATTTATTCCAGAACAAATTTCATAATCAAAAAAATTAAACTATGTATTATAAGAACAGCTAATATTAAGTACAGCAAGTACTAAATTGCATTACTATTTTAGAGAAGACATTAATAAATAAACGTTCTTTTTTAACATGTAACTTTTGCTTCCAGAATCAATCATATATTTTCCTATTTAACGTTTTACTTTCTTTTGACTTCAAAATATTTAAAAAATAAAATTAATCTCTCTTCATAATCTTGATAATAATTTTAAATTTACACTAGTTAGAGTTAATTGCGGTACAATTAAGTCGGATGTTCGATGAATAAGGTACAGTTGTCCTTAAATTGCTATATCTGGAAAAAGTAAGCATTAGCATGAAATCAAATCGGTGTAGCTGTTATCTTTCTCTTTGCCATTGATTTTCGGGAGACATAATATGATAATGATCGATACAATTTGAATAAACTGTGCCCGCGAGTGGTTCCATCAACGTTATTTCCAAATATCGATACTTGAACGAAAATTCAACCCATTGAAAGTTCCACCTGCAATATTTTAAATTTTCCCGCTTCCGACGGCGTCGGCGCAACGTACCTAACGTCGAATCTGCATCGAAAATTCTTCATTAATAATCGATAAATAGTAAGCAACAAAATAATTGTTTGAAAAACTAATTGCGGTACAATTAAGTCGGATGTTCGATGAATGAGGTACAGTTGTCCTTAAATTGCTATATCTGGATAAAGTAAGCATTAGCATGAAATCAAATCGGTGTAGCTGTTATCTTTCTCTTTGTCAATGATTTTCGAGGTTTATAATATAAAAATAATTAGTTAGATGAAAGAAAATTATTTTTTCTGACAAGTTAAATTATTTCTATACTAAATCATCAATTGAATTTATATAAATTTATGTATGTAATATTGTTGGTTTCAAAATTTTTCCGCTGTTTAAAGCTCTACGCCTGCGCAAAGTGCATTTCCGGATAACATCCTTGTAAGATGTAACAAATAGTGGTAATTTGTAATTGTCCTATTATTTCTTTTAGAAACAAATTTATAGAATTGTACTGATGGTACAATTTAGACTACAGAAGGTACAATTTTTCTGTGAATTTATTTTTGCTTAATTATGTCTTTTATGTGAATAAATAGGAGGTGAAATATCGATAAGAATATTTCTTATTTTTTATGAGAAATATAATGGTACAATAACAAATAATTATTTTTTCGAGAAGTACAATTAGACATACGTGAGATGTGATCATTTTTTTTCTAAAATGTTATTTGTGTCGGGCTGTCTTCGCATCGGTGTGAAAGTTTTTGTTTAAAAAACTGAATTGAATATTGGTGTCTAGTGTTCAAGAGGATTGAAACAACTACCTAGCTTTTTCAGATGAGTATTAGTGTCTTGTGATGTTACCAACAAATAGGATGTGATTCTTTGTGAGAGTTTATTTTTGTTTACAGGTTTCAATTGTGATCTAAATATTCAACAGACTTTCAAGAGAAAGTTTTCAAGATTTTTTTTAATCAAGTGATACAAGGATGTCATCAGTGCGGAGTTTGTTTTTAGAACATTTAGTTGTTAACGCATCTCACAACACACTGAACATCAACATTTCAGAAGACAATAATTCCTAGTGAGGTATGTATGCGTCAGATTATGTTTTATGGGTGCAAATCCAAGTCGTGTGTAGTCAAGCTGTAAATTTAATTTTCTTGGTTTTTGATTTTTCACATTGTAAACCTCTTTACCGTAGGTTTCTGACCAGAGTTTTTAACAGATTGGCTGAAATTTGTACAGGTGTTCTACAATATTCAATATTTTTAATAAAGTTCAACACTGTGAGTGAATGAATTTTTATATTCATTAATAGACATTTTAAAATTAATATTTACTTTTCAGTTGCTTGTGGTTACGATTGATTTCACAAAATTCACTAGGCTTTATATCAGTGTGGATGTATTTTCAAGGTTATTGACAACAAATTTTTTTAATCCAATTTTAGAGCCAACCCGTTGTAAAAAAATTTAAACAATCATCTCAGGTAGTTACACACGTGTGTTTCGTTGGTAAATATCCAACCTCATCAGATCTTTATTAAAAAATAAAATGAGAAAATAGTTACAGATATACGTGGGTAACCACCTGAGATGATTGTTTAAATTTTTTTACAACGGGTTGGCTCTAAAATTGGATTGAAAAAATTTTTTGCTGAACAAAATGGAGAGTGCTAATAATAACATAAGGTTATTGACAATTTTATTTTGCAATGCATGCCTACTCGCCTACCCCTTCTACCTGAAAGGTATGAGAGGGAAGAGTCTATGAATTCAGTATATATTAGTTTTATTTCATAGTAACTAAATGAACCACTTTTTCACTTTCTAAAAACCTTTCTAAATAGTGCTACGATACACATTGAAATATTAAATAATTTCAAAATATTTAATATTCAATAAGTTACTGCGAGGAATATTCACCCTACCCTATTATAAGATCATGTGATATCTCATGTGATGCATCAGAAGATTTGTTACCAGACATTTTACACGATTGTTCACATGATTGTTTCATTATATCATATAAAAAATTACTTTGAAAATTCATTTTTAGCCACTATTATTAGCTTTTTTTTTTATTTTTTTGCCTATTCTATTTGGAAAAAATTTACTGGTTCAACGTAATATCACATGAGTAACTCTAATCCATGAAATTACTTGATTTTATGAGATTTAATAAAAAATTTTCTTATAAATTACATGAAATATCACATGTTATTTTTCAGTAGAGTGGCTTCCGGTCACTGACAACTGACATTGAATTTAAAACCGTTCTACGTACTGTTTCTAATGAGTTACAATGCTTTGAAAAAAATGTAACATATTATGAACTGTAACTAAAATAAAATTTAACATTCTACAAAATCAACATGCTTTGATCCAATACTTTACAATCACAAACAAAATTCATAATGAATATTAATTCTACATTTGCTTACTCTGAATTGCAGATATTTGGATAGCCAAATTTTTTACTTCACTGCCATCATTCCATGGGATAGTATAAATTGTTTTTTTATCGACTTTTTTAAAATCATCTTCACTAGCATTTTCAAATTCAAGTATATCTCGAACTGGAACAACTTCTCTCACGTTGTCATCAATATACCTGATCTTCGCATAATGCTTTGATTTAAACAAAGGCATTTTGACAACCGGATTACTTTGAACAAAGGAAACTGGTCGGGAACAAAGGATTGCGGCTTAGTGAGTTATTCTACGAAAACCAAACGATAGAACGATTCTAACACGCTGTGTCACATGATCAATTATGCTGACTTTGACATGAAGTGACGAAATTCGAAATTTTTCTATTTGACCGATCTGAAGTTATTAAACCATCATAAACACCAGAAATTGTTTAACATCAAACATTATTTTTTATTTCATATTTATTTTTAGTGAAACGAGAAATTACAATGCATCACAGTAATAATTATAAAAGGAACAATCACATAATATATGATACATACACTATGATATATGTAAAATGACATTTTACCATAATTCATTTCAAGCGGTTCCACATTAACTTGTACTTCATATAACTGCGGATATTTACTATGAAACGGTTCAGCAAAGGATAATCTCTTTGTTAAATATTTCTGTTATACTCGTATATATATACGAGTACATAAGTAATCTCATTATTTGAAATGGAATCAAGCTCCAGTGAAGAAAGTTATGACAGTGTAATTTTCAATAACTCAGCATCCACTGAATTGGATGCTAATGGCTTGAATTCAATAAGTGGTAGCAATAGTTTCATTAGAAAATTACGGAACTCTTTTTCCGAACATTCACAACAATCAGACGACTCATCAGAAAATGGTTGGTAAAATTAACTTTTTAATGATTATAATTTCTAAATAAGTGATTTTTATACTAAACTTGGAGATAATCTGAAAAAAATAATATACTACTTTCAAATGACAGAAACACGTATACCAGATGGCCAATGTAGAAAACGTTTATTGAATGATGCTTTCAGTGATTTAGCTTCCAAAACAAGATCTGATAGTAATGATCTGGTTACATGCGATTCAGAAAATCATATCGATGAAGCTAGATTTTTTGCAGACAATATTGTAAGTTTACCTACCGAAGTACCTCTGAACAATGAGTTGAAATCTTTTTATATAGTTGAAAAAAAAACACGTTATAAATAGGTGATTATATTTATTTTAAAATATTTTTTGGTTGGCAATATTTTAATAACTCATTCTAAGATTTTGAAAGTTCCATGAATGAATAGTGATTTTTTTTATTAAAAATATTATTTTGCTCGATCAATCACATACGTTTTTCTAGCTATCCCTTATTTCAGTTATGCTTCTTGACTTAAAGTAACTTATATCATGTATTGTAACGGGGGAGATAATCTGAAAATGGGAAATTTATTTAAAAACAAACTTCCGCGATGCAGAGCAAACCGCCGTTCCGTTAAACACGTATGATAATACGTGTATTCGCCTTAACGTCAGATGATTTATCTTAGTTGTCTACTATCGATCGGAGTTGAACTCACCTTAAGTCACGTGTTTCGTTACACTTGATGAGTTTTAAGTGTGAGCGACTTTACTCCTAATCTTCTTAATCCCCTAGATGTAATTGGATTAAAACCTAAGCCTGTTTCAAATACTTAAGCTACCGGGAAAATCAAATGACGAAAACGGCGAATAAATTTAACAGACTTTAATTAATAAAAAATCACTACAGTCTTTGTTGGGCCGAAAGACTGACGCACGAAAATAGGATTTTACAATTTAATTATGTTCGGTGAGA